CGCACTGTATCTGTTTCTGTCCGTGCTGCTATAAACTGCAGCGTCCTGGGTTGTGCGCCCCTCCGCAGTTTCCCCATTCCTGCCTCCAGGTCGGGCCTGTCTCTGCCCTTTGTGCTTCTAAAACCACCAGCTGCTCCCAGTTCACGTGTGCGTGACTCCACCGCTTGGGGTTTCCACCCCCGGGGGTTGCAGTTCACTGGCGCACCGGGTTTCCCTCCCGGGGACTGCAGTTTGCGTGCGCGTGACCCCGCCACCCTGGGTTTCCACCCCGGGGGCTGCAGTTCACCCGTGCGACCCCGCCGTTCTGTGTTTCCGTCCGGGGGGCTGCAGTTTGCGTGCCCGTGACCCCGCCGCTCTGGGTTTCCGCCCCAGGGGCTGCCCTAAAGTCCTTTCCCCGCCGCCACCGGTCCGTCCCCAGCGAGTGATGCTGTCGCTCACCAGCGGTGTAGGATCCCCACGGCCAGGCACCTTCCCGCTGCCATTTATCCTGATATCTGCCAGCGTTATCACGGTTCCCCGTTTTGTACCTCAAAACCAACCGCCTGCGATATTCTGTTTGTAGAGATCCAGATCTTCTTACATCTCAGGCTGGTTTCGTGGGTGCTCAGAGTGGTCTGGTAGATATCCAGCTCAATTCCCGGGATGGCTGGCATAGGGTCCCCTACTCCTCTGCCATTTTCCCCCCTCCTCTTAAAGAAATTTTTTAATTGAAGTATACAGTTGACACACTAGAACTTCAGAATTTATAATATTGTAAAATGGTTGAAATTTAATTACTCACTGAATGCTAATTGAACTGTTCTACTTAAGTAATTTTTTAGTAGGAAAAATTTTATAGACTGCTTTATGTAATGCTAATTTATGTTCATTAGCATTTGAAAGGAGAAAGTAATTTACCTTTTTAATGATTTGAGAGTGGTAATACCCTATTTTCCTTGTTCTTGTTTTGTATAAGGACCTGACCCTACATTTTTTGTAATTTTATTTTATATATTTCACATAAAATGTAATGTTAAAAAACTTTTAGCCCATTGGGAAAATTTCTTAAGTTTTTAACTATCAAATTTAAAAATAATTATCATTATTTCCAAAGAATACAAGCATATAGGGGGAAAGTGTTACTTCTTTAACTTCAGGATTAAAAAACTTGAGCTTGAGACAATTCATTTCACCACTCGCCCCCACCCCCATCTCCCAGATTAGCATGTTTGTATTTGTTTATTTCTCCTGGTTCCTACCTTGTTACTCCAGGTCAGGCAGAACCTGAAACCTGCCTGGTGCGCATGCCTTCTCCCCCATCGTTTTATTTTATCATCATAATGTTTGTTTATAGCACCTCTTACAGTGAAAGGGAGGGTATATTTTCTAATCATTTGTATTTGTGTTTTTAATGTGCATTACCTCTTTTTCCTTTTAATGACATTCTATACTTCTAAAAAATAAAAGCTTTTAAACTGTCTATTGGCTAGTGTGATTTTTAATTATGATATTTATTTGAAAATATTACTAATAAAATTGTAGAGCAAAGCCTTGCCAGGTCTTTTTGAGGCATCTGTTCCCTGATGTAGTGTTACGAACATTATAGATGACCACGGATCGTAATCTTGCTGTATGCTTACTGGGGTGCTTCAGGGCTTATGAACTTGTGGAATTTTACTTTTGTAATTTATAGTCAACTTATTCCTTCAACCTGTGTACTTAGTTTACATTTTCAGTTCACGATTTGATGCGAAGAAAAATTCCTCTTTGCATATGAATTTGTTCCTATTTGGGGGGCAGGAATCTAAAGAATATGAGATAACCCCTATTAGTTAGGAGTTGGAATTTTCAGAAACTGGAACTCAGTCGTACATATATTTCAGGCCTGGGTTTGATTATAGAGGTCTTTTAAACTCACCTTTATGGTTCCTATCTCTGAAGAGCCAGCTTCCTGCAGGTGGCTGGTGAGTGCCTTCAGCATTTTCACAGGGCAAGGAGAGAACACTTCCATCCTCTTCCTGGTCTCTCTCCCCCGCTCAGGAACCCTTTACACTTTATCGATATTTTCTGTAGCTCCATTGGGCTACATATATTCATGTTATTTCTTTAAAGTATTAGTGAAAGAAATTCATAATAAGAAAAGCAGGGAGAATACGGGGTTTAAAGTCACAGGGACAGAAGAAACAGTCCCAGTGTAGGAAGAAGGGTGTTGTTTTCCAGCACTGATGTGATGTTCATCTCTGTTTCAGAATGGGTGGTGCGGTGGTAAATGCTCTGCTAGAAAGTACGTACAGAGTGCCATGGAGGTGCAAAGGGAGGGACTTTTGAACAGTGCCTTGAAAGATCATTAGGTGCTAGCGAGGCATGCCAGGCAGAGGGCACCTTGTCCACAGGCATGGATGGGAAGAACTTCTGGAACATAGAGTATGTGCCTGAGGTTGGAGAGAGGTGGGGCAGGTGGACAGAACCTAGTTTATCAGGTGCCTCCTGTGCCATGTTAGTTGTTTTCTCCATTTTTATCCCGAGTGTGGAATAAATCATTGTACAGTTTTAAATGGGGGAATAGCATGACTGCATTTGCATTTTAGAAAGATTATAATACAGGAAATATGGAAGAGGCATTGGAAGGGGCCAGTCGCAGGTGAAAGTCTGTTAGGGACTTCGTGCTGCTGAGGAATGAAGGGACCCAGGACTCTGGCTGTAGGAAAGGGAGGGGGGCTTGCAGCTTTGTGAGCTGTGGGAAGGAGGACATCCGGGATGACTCTGGGTATCTGTCTTGGGTAGCTTGGTGGGTGGAGATACTGCCGCGTGTGAAACAGAATCTAGAAGAAGGACTAACAAGAAGTTGGTTTGAACATGAAAGCATTTAAATGGAGCTGTCCCAAGAGGCAGGTAGTCAGAGAGTTGAAGTTGAGAGGGAGATTTGGGTTTGAGGTAGGGATTTGGACATCCTTGGTATTCTGTGTGGTAAAAGTTCTGGGTGGGAATGAGACCTCCTGGGCAGTTTCTGTTGGGGGGTGAGCTGGAAGGAAGCCAAGGGGAAGGTTCTGATGGGAGACCCATGCAACTGGGGAAGCAGGAGACTGGAGGGGTCTAGCAATAATGGTCATCTCTATTGCTAGGTTCTTGAAAGAGAGGATTGAGAGCTGGGTAGCAGAGTAGCTCCACTTGACTTGTCGTGGTTGGAGATGATCTTGGAAGCCACTCAGATGCACTTGCCATTATATTTCTTTATTGATCTTTCTTTCCTTCTTTCTTTCTTTCTTTCTTTCTTTTTTTTTTGACAGATAAACTTAACCAGATACTGTGTTTTCATTAAATTCATTTCCTGACGGTAGACCCTGACATAGCTTTCTGTTTATTTGTTCACCAAGTGTGCTGTGAAGTGTACCCGGGGAGTACCTTTGAGTCCGGCCTGGCCCCTCGAACCCTCACCTCCCCCCCGAATGTTCAGGCAGGTCCAAACAGTTGAAGCATATCTGCGCTGCAGCCCCATCCATCCCTGCTCTCCCGGGAGTGCTTCTGTCTTCGGGGGCAGTATGTGTATGTGCTCCATCCCAGCCTTTTCAGACTTCACTCTTGAAGTAAGTCTGATAAATTCCTTCATGTGTGACTAAACCTCAGTGTACTTCAACAAATTTGTGTATTTTAAAAGGAGTCAAAGAATGAATCTCTCTGACTGGAATTTCATATTTCAGAATACCTGTGGAAGAAAGAGATTTTTAGGGATGGTACTACCTATTTACTTCCTTCCTTACATTTTACCTATTTTTAAAAAATTGAGTTATAATTTCCATATAACATTGTGTAAGTTTAAGGTATATAATGTGTTGATTTGCTCTATTTATGTATTACAATAAGATTACCCCTGTAGCATTAGCCAATATGTCACGCCACGTGATTATTATTTCTTATTTGTTGTCAGAGCAGTCAAGAAGAGATGGTACCACGTTCTTTTTATACTATAATAAGTTTGGCCAGCCTCGCTTCACATTACCATTGTCAAAAATAAAATTAATAAGGAGGAGTCTGCTTCACAGAATAATTAACCAGTCAGTTTTTGAACCAGTTATAAAAATGAAATTTGTATGTTCTAATTTACAAAATCTCATTAAAACAATATTCGGGGCTCAGGAAAGTCTGGTTTGAGCTCTGTGGTTGGCTGACCCCTTCCCAGGCATGCTTTTGGGAAGGTCCTCAGGACCTTCTCAGATGACTCTTCCATCTCAAGTGTGCGTTCGATAGAGAGCCTGGTCATTTTCTAGCTAGGGCGCGTCGTACTCGTTCCTCAGTGATAGAACCAGTGGGCAGGGCCCCAGCAGCCACTCAGTCGGCTTTTGTCTGGTTTGAGAAGATTTATTACTTCATTGGATGAGACTGTCATTCTGAGTACCATGGTGACCCATAAAGGATCATGAATTTTGCAATTATACCTAAGTCATTTCACATAGAAATTTGTATGAACCAAACATCTCATAAAAGATGTTAGGCTCCGGGCACCTGGGTGGCTCAGTTGGTTAAGTGTCTGCCTTTGGCTCAGGTCATGATCTCAGGGTCCTGGGATCGAGTCCCGCGTCGGGCTCCCTGCTCAGCGGGAAGCCTGCTTCTCCCTCTCCCTCTCCCCCTCCCCCCTGCTTGTGCTCTCTCTGTCTCTCTCTCCCTGTGTCTCTCTCTGTCAAATAAATAAAATCTTAAAAAAAAAAAAAGACGTTAGACTCTAAGATTACAAAGTTGCAACTGTAATTGTGCTAATTCAACAAAAAATATTTATGGAAGTATTTCAATGATATGGGAAGACTTAAAGACATTATTGCATGTTTATTTGGTGGAACTCTACACAATCATCGCATGTTTTTGAAGAATAATAACAAAGGAAATGACTATTTTGTTAAAGGAAAAGGACTACACAATTCTGAATATGGTATCCCGTTTAAAAATAAATTCACAAAAAGTCTGAAATAAATTACATAGTAAAGTAATGATCTTCCTGGAGAAACATAAAATCTTTCCGTCTATTTCAGCTAACCTTCCAGTGCCAACAATTGCAGCGATAGATGGACTTGCTTTGGGTGGTGGCCTTGAGCTGGCTCTAGCATGTGATATACGCGTAGCAGGTGAGAATTAATCCTATCAGAAATGAGGTTTGTGCTTACTCTTCAGATAATTCCAAATATTTTATTCTTTTCTGTTGTTGAGTAGAATATTTAGAAGAGGTCACCCGTTGGACTTGATGAAGTATTGAAGATTCCCAGTTAAGAAAACAGTCTGATAGAGTCTCTTATTGGCCTTAGCAAGTAGGGGAGGAGAATGGGAATTGGGTCAGACAGAACTGAATTTGAATCACAGGCCCTGTCCTTTTCCGATCCGTTTCCTCCTCTAAAATGGGGGAAATGGCAGGAGCTGTTGTGAAGATCAGGTGAACTAATCTGTGGCATGTGCCCAGTCCAAGCACTTAATTCTTGTCAGCTACAGAAATGATAACTTAATCTCTTTGAGGTTCACTTTCGTCTTGCTTGGTTTCCTGTGGGTCAGATGAGGCGATGATGAAAATAATAATGAGAACACTTAGTGCTGGCTGCGTGCTGAGCGCTGACCCGGTGCCCAGCCCTGCTCGAAGCCCCTGACGTGTGTTAGCTCGCACAGTCGGCCCACTAGCCCTCTGTGATAGGCGCTCTCTGGTGCTGGAGGAAGCCGGGGCACGGGGAGGAGACGTAACAGGCCCAGAATCAGTGGCTGAGCTGGGATTGGAACCCAGGCAGTCCGGCACCACGGCCGTCACTCCCCCTGTCCTGCGAGAGCCCCGCAGACTGCCACCATATGGTCACACTGGGGTGACACAGAGGGGCCCTGGGACCAAGGACTGGGTGAAGCAGGCAACAGCTGTCTGTCACCGTTCTTCCCCTGGCCCTCACTATCACTCCTGGAGCAGCTGCCTGCTAAGACTAGTCAATATAATTAGGTTTTCAATAATTTTTGACTGTTTCTTGGGATTTGTAGCTGCTAGTCCGTGTGGACTCTTTTCCCCTTTCCACTTTATTTTAGATCTCTACTTGTCTGAAATCATGAGTTTTAAATGTAAAAGCTAAGGTACATGTAGTCCATTTCTGAAAGAGTGCAGATTCTGGGAATTAGGATATGGGAAGTGGTCCAAGTACATTTGGATATTCAAATAAAGAAATAATTAAGATGTTTTAAAGTAGCCGTGAAAACAAAACACGGAAAGAGGAACCCCGTCCAGCTGTCAGAACAGTAAAACCATTTGTCCAGAGTAACTAGAGATTCGGCCCTGACAGGCTCTGTATCTGATATGATATATTACGCTGTTTGATTTGGAGGGCTCTCTGGGCGGCTAGAGATTCCTGCTTGTCGGACACAGCCTGTGCTCCCCATCCTGAATAATTAACGGGGTCTAAGCCTGCAGACATGACTCGGCAGTATCAGGTCAAATTATGTAGTCATAACCTTGGTCTTCCTGCGTCGAAAATTAATTCACTGCCGAGCAATTTTTAACAGGAAATGTTATGTGAATCTCTTAATGTATATCACTTACAGTGTTTACTATTTCCATAACACAGGCTTAATTAGTAAACAGAATATTTGTAGCTGATTTTACTAACTTTTTCAAGTCATAATATTTGAATCTGATAATGGATTTTACTTAATTTTAATTTTCTTCCTTCCTTTCTAGCTTCCTCTGCAAAAATGGGCTTGGTTGAAACAAAGTTGGCAATCATTCCTGGTGGAGGTATGAATTGTTCACGCCCATTGGTTTATTTTCAACAACAGGGCATAAGGCAAAAGGGTGTTAATTGAAAAGGCAGCATTTTCGATAAAGAGACTAATACTATATTGTTCGCTTTTGTAGCAAAGTCCTTATTCAAAATGTGCTCTTTTAGCTTAGGTAGTTGAGAAGATGCTGGGTATGTTGGGTGTTGCTCTCTTTTTGTGGTGTCTCCTGGGCTTTTCTGTATAATTTCTTAATTTTTAAATTATTGTATCAGTCACATTTTTCTTGAAGGGTTGCACTGATACTTTGAAACTTTTGTGTGGGTATATAAACGTACGTGCCCTCAGAGAGCAGCCCGCACGTGGTCAGACCTCATTGGGGGAGCGGGTAGGGCTTGCCAGGCTTCGTGCAGGTTTTTTGTGCTTCTGGGCACCAGGACAAAAGTTGGGGTTGGTGGGTGCCTGAATTTGGAGCTGAGGTACTTCTTCGGTCACTTCAAAAAAGGTAGGTGAGCTGCGTTTTGGGGAGACTCATTTAAGAAAGCCCTTTTCTAACATTGATAATGAAATCTTGTATCACCCAGTAAATCTGAAATTTTGGTTCTTTGGTCTGATGAGAGAATTTGGAGCTATTCCCGTTTCATGAAGTCGTTCTCTCAGAAAGTAGAGTTCATTTGAGATGTGCACATTGAGAATTTATTAGTATATGAATTAAATAGCAGTAACAGTTTAAAAATTAAAAGCAGTGTTTGAACACTTCAGGCATGTTTGTACCTGGACAGGTTATAAAATTGTCTGTTTAACCTTCTCGTTAGAAGAGTGCTTATCCTGATTAGGGTGGATAAGGAGAAATGAAAACACAATTCAGTGAAACTGGTGACTACCCAGGTCAATGTGTAAGACTCACTAAAAGGTTTCTACTTCGGTCGTCCATGAAAATGCTATTCTTGTGGGTAAAGCCCTTGATATCTGCCTGTTCGACCATGCCAGTCTTGTTCACGGTGACTAATGAAAACACTCAGAGGAGGATTTCTATGGAAATGGATCCAACTGAAAAGAATTATCAGGTAACTAATACTGGAAGTAAAACAAGCTTTGGAAAAAAGATGATGGTATGATAATGTTTCTGAAATTCTTTTAAGAAGCAAGCTTTTATTGGTAATTAGGGTATAGCTAACCCTAGAAGGACAGTGACTGTAGTGAAGTGGTGACTCCCCCCCGCCCAAAGATAGGACAGCCTGGAACCTGTGAGTGTAACCTTACTTGGAAAAAGGGTCTTTGCAGGATCTTAGGGATCTTAAGGATCTTAGATGACCTCATTCTGGATTATCTGAATGAATCTTAAATGAATGAATCTTAAGTCTCATAACAAGCGTTCTTATAAGAAGAGAAGAGGAGAAGCAGGAGAAGGTCCTGTGAAGACAGAGATTAGAGAGAGGCGTTTTCAAGTCCAGGAAGGCCAAGGATTGCTGGTGGCCACCAGAAGCTAGGAGCCTCCAGAAGGAACCACCCCTGCCAGCATCTCGAGTTTGGACTTCTGTTCTCCAGAACTGTGAGAGGAGAATTCTGTGGTCCTAAGTCAGCAAGTTTATGATGATTTGTTACAGCAGCCCTTAGAGACTAATACAGTGGTGTTTAACATCTCGGTGATTTTTTTCTGGACAGGGAATTAGTGGGTGGCGAGATAAGGGGTGGGAGGAAGATGAACTTGGTAATTTGGATATTTATCATATCTCGAAGGTGAAACGTTTTGTATTAAAACCACAAGAAGGTAGAACGGTTGCATGAGCGTACTGTTGGCGCTGGTTAGAGGGAAGAAGCCTAATTGACTGCACTGCAGAAACACGAGTGGTAGCTCTTCGCTCATGAGCCGGCCGTGGCTTTTGAGGTCTAGGAATTAGCATTTTCTTTCCAGAGTACTGAAGTTCTCTAGGGTCCTCTTCAATCAGGGACCCGTTAGTTAGAACCCACTTGTTGTAAATTTGATTCATTTTGGATTGTGTATTCTCATGATTACCATTATTTCTAAAATTTTTATTAAATGAATTTTTCATAAAATTCAGGATGCTTTAATGTTTTCCCATCTACTTATAAAGGATCATCTTCTGTCTTTGCCGTTTTTCCTAAGTGAGTCTGAGGGAGTGTATTTCAGTTGCTCCTTTAATTAATGAAGCTTTCAAGTTCATCGCTCATACACATGTAGCTATTGTTATGTTGCACTTTCTGTCGAGAGTGAGTCGAATTTCTCTTTGAGACCACATTCACATTTCGATGAAGAAAGATGCATGCGGACATTTTGGTTCACTTTCACATTTGTGTGATGGTTACTGGTGCACCGTAAGTTGGGCCTAGTTTTGATTTTTGTTTTTTTTTTAAACAACAGCGCAGTTTCTTTTTTTTTTTTTTAAATTTTTTATTCTTATGTTAATCCCCATACATTACGTCACTAGTTTTAGATGAAGTGTTCCATGATTCATTGTTTGTGCATAACACCCAGTGCTCCATGCAGAATGTGCCCTCCTCAATACCCACCACCAGGCTAACCCATCCTCCCACCCTCCTCCCCTCTAGAACCCTGTTTGTTTTTCAGAGTCCATCGTCTCTCATGGTTCGTCTCCCCCTCCGATTTCCCCCCCTTCATTCTTCCCCTCCTGCTACCTTCTTTTTTTTTTTTTTTCTTAACATATATTGCATTATTTGTTTCAGAGGTACAGATCTGAGATTCAAGAGTCTTGCACAATTCACAGCAGCGCAGTTTCTTTTAAGCAAGGTTTAATGTATTATCTAAAGGAGCAGTTTCTGAAATTTTTGTGGAGAAAAATCCTCTTCTGGATATTTTGATCCACAGATATTTTCACCATAACTCCTTTCTCCCCTTCCTTTTCTCATAGATGATCCTCATGAAAATACTGCTTTCTTTTCTTTTCTTTTTTTTTTTTTTCTTAAAGTTGGTTTTAAATTGATGGATTTGCCACAGCTCATGTGATCCCTGAGATGTCCTCTTTTGGTCTGTGAACTGCTTAGAAGAGCTTCTTAGAATAGACACAGTAGACCATGCTTAGTTTCTTCCTCCCTTGTTGGTGGACCTCTTAGCTAAAAGAAGATGTGAACTTGCTTCCTGTTGTAGATGCTGCTTGAGCATCGTGGCCCTCGTCCCTGAGTCCTTGTCACTGTCCGCAGCCCCGCCTCTCATCCGTTTCACGCAGGACCGGCCACACGGGTAGAAAATGGGGGGTGGGGGAGAGAATATTGTGGAAACAGTAAACGCTTTGCTTTCCTAGTCAAATGAAGACTGCAGTCAGTTCCTCAGGGTGGAAAGTCTAGCTGCATGCAGCCTGGAAACTGGTGCTGCAGGTCTGGTAAGGTTTGCCCCTCCCAGCTTGTACAGGCCGCAGTCCACGCCGGGTGGCCCTGAGAGGTTCTCCAGAGGCAGCGGCACCCCTGGCTGTCCTGTCAGCATCACTTCTGCCCCTTTGTGATGACAGTTCACCGGGCAACATTGGACCAAAGACTAGCATTTAGCTTTCTTCAGTTTTTTTTTTTTTTCTTTTTTTTCTTTTTCACTTGAACCTGAGTGACAATATGATTCTTTTTAAGATATATTTTGTAAATGTTCTCAAAGCAAGTTAAATTAAAAATGATTGTTGTGGGGAGAATAATATTCCTAGTGAACAAGAGTATTAGTGGGCCATTACTATAATGTGATTCTTAGATGGGTATTCTAAATTTTAGTGTTTACGAGAAAGAGATTCAGTGATGACTATTGAAATTATATACTTAATGAAAAGGAATGTAGAAACATACTGGATCTGAATTGAACTTCTTTAAATAGTATTAAATCAGATATAATTAGAAAAATTAAATGTAACTGACTGTCATATACTCAAGCCAGTACTTTTACTTATGGAACACTGGGTGTTATACACAAACAATGAACCATGGATCACTACGTCAAAAACTAATGATGTACTGTATGGTGATTAACATAACATAATAAAAAATATATATATATATTTGATTATAGACGAATACTATAAAATACAAAATACAATGTTAATGATTGAAAGCACTAGCCAATTTAAAAATAATTAAGATTGTTCCCAAGGACCTTCCCACAATGTCCTAAATTATATTGGGGATCTTGGTACACCACACAGCTCTAGTTTATCCTCCAGTATCTTCACCTTAAAGAAAGCAGCTACACCTCCTATGTTCTTCCCAACTGAGATAATGCTCCAGTAGTGTAAAATAAAATTCCTTTTTAGAAACAGCTCCTCAAATGATACCACCCTTCAGCACATTTGTAAGAACCAAGTAAAACAAGTTCAGAGGATTAGAATTCTTTTGACAGTTTAGGAAATTTCTTTTAAGTGTGCACAGAAAATGGTGGCAGACTGCCTCATTCCTGGCCTTTGTTTCTTGCCTCTTCTATTGGAGGATTTGGGGTTTGTGTCAAGAAACCTTATTATAACTAAGATAGCCGTTAGGGCTTCTTGCTTGGGCACACACCCCTGTGACAGGATGTGTACTACTTTCACTGCTCTGTGGCTCTCTTTTATTTCCTCCAGCTTTTTATTTTGGAAATGTTCAAACTTCAGGAAATTTGAAAGCCAGAAAAATGACCCTCTTTACACGCCTCACCAAGATCTGCCCGTCCCCATATGTCTCTCCTCCTGCTGCCCTCCTCCCGGTCTCATTTGCACTCCCATTTGTTCTTGCTGAGCCATTTCAAAATGACCAGGTGGACCGTTCGCTGTACCAGCATGCCTTTCCTAGGAGGAAGAACAAACCCTTATATAACCACAAAACTAGTACCACACTTAACGATATTAACATTAATTTCAGATTCCCCACGAGTCTCAAAATGTTGTTTGCGGTGGTTTTTGGCTTTGCTTTTTCAATTCAGGATCCAGTTAAATGTCATGTTGCATTTGGTTAGGTCTATGGGTTTTTTTTTGTTTTGTTTTTTAAATCAAGACAAGTCTTTCATCTCTCTCTTTTTTTTTTTTTAAAGATTTT